TGGGCAGATTTCTCACATCCCTGTGGACTGCCCCTCATTCTCCAACTGTGCGAGGTACAATGCTGATTGTGCTGGAGATGCTTCTAGAAATACATCCTTAGTAGTAGCTGTGGATTTGGAGCTCTCATCTGCCTGCTCAGTCTAATTAAAATGTAGGTTCCTGTTCTGCTTGTCACAGAATCATAGAACCACTGAGGTTGGAGGGGACCCACAGATCATCTAGTTCCAACCCCCTGCCATTTCTATCTCTGTTTAAACTGTGTTGACTTTGAAATTGCATGGGAAAACGTTATCTGTTGCCCTGTCTTCATTCAGCTAAAAGGCACACAAGGACTTGACAGTCTTTGCCTGCTCTTGCTGTTATGTACTTCTCAGCTTTGCTCACCCAACATTCAGATCTAGGTGTTCCCACAGTACAAGAAGTCACAAGCACACGTTGTATGAGGGCACAGTCTGCCATCTAATCCTGAACTCCAGTGACTGAAATCAAATCCCTGGGTTCAGATTAACCCCACTGAGGAATTACCTAAATGACAGTCTGTTTGTGGCTTGTTTATCTGATAAGCAACTCTGTAATGTTAAAGTGAAAGCCAAAGATTGCACCTGCATGTTGAATGCAGTATCAGAGATCTCGGAAACCTGGGATGAGCTGGGGCAGCACGGGGCACCTGCAGAACCAAGGGAGGAGAGCACATGAATATTGGAAGGTGCTGGCTTGAAGGGATGTCCTGCTTTGGCTCACTCAGGAAGGGTTTTTGGAAAGATAGTTCCTTCTGGTCTGTGCACACCCTCTGCCCATGCTCCACTCACTTGCATTCCTGAGCATTTCCCAAAGTTATTTCATTCTGAACACTTAAACAGTGTCAGGATTAAATTTTTATGTGGAGTTCTCTTCCAAAGTACAGACCAACAGGTTTGGGATGGCTGCTCACACAATGGGGTCAGCACGGGCAGGGCTGTCCAACAGGTGATGATTTTGGTGTGACTGCCCAGATCTGGGAAGCAGGATGGAGCCCATCCTGCTACGTGAAGGAGCAGCTGATACATGAAAGGAATTGTCAGAATTCAAAGAAGCCTTTTCTGGGTGCCTCACCCACACCAACAGTGAAAATTATACCTCATCTCATAAAAATGAATGCATTTTTAAGAGTCACGCATTTTTAACTGGCTTTGCATCCCCTTTCTTTCTTCAACGTGCTCTTCAAAAGCGATGAAATGTACTTGTTCTATTTCAGTTGCATTCCTAGGCAAGCCCCCTTTTTTTGAGCTCTCCCATTAACGCTAGGATGAGCAGGATATTCACACACATCTAAAGATTGTGATGTCTTTGATTTGATCTCTCTTAGGGGTACAAAAACACGAGCTCTGAAAAACTGACCCCCGAAGGATGGGAAACTCCAGTAATGAGGCGATCTCAAAGGTGTGCACAGCCAGGCTGGTCATGGACTGCAGGGAGATAAAAGTACTTGGTGTGAGACTCCTTACAGATCCTAAGCAGCGAGCCTTGGCACGAGCTAGGCATCATCTTTAGTCATCTCTTCAAAAACTTGCTTTATTTCCTCAGCTCTGTAGGTGTTGGCCACTTGGGTCATCAGTAGAGGCTGCTTTTACTTCTTTTTCAGTGTTTCAGTGGGTTTTCTGTTACACTGGATCTTCTATTCTGGTTCAGCTCATTTCAGAAAATCAACACAGAGTCCCATTTCCAGGAAGAAGCTGCCAAGGGACGGTGCATTTAATTTCATGAGTGGGAGATCCTGCAGGATGCAGGGCCTTAGGAGGGCTGTTCCTCTGGAGATTCCTCATCAGAACTAGAAATAGCAACGGGACTAATTAAGAACAGGAGTGTGAAGTTGTACTGAGCAGATGAGCTATTAATAGCAGAACAGCCAAGATGACATGGAAAAACTGTGCTGCTTACATGTCTTTGCTGTGAAATGTCCCAGTGGGGTTCTAAAAACAGGAGGGTCGCTTCTGTTTGCCTATCAGAGTGTGAGTCAAAGGTCTGGAACATGAAAGAGAATAACATACAGAAGCACACAGCAGCCGTACGCTGCCAAGCTGCCAGTTGTTACCAATTATATTCTATGAGGCTTTTCTGTTATGTCAGAAAAAGCGATGAAGTCATCCTCATTTGTATTCCATTCACACAGACACTGACTTGGGGAAGGGTTTTGATGTTACAGTGCATTATACACCAAAGTAGACACCTTTTCATTTAGAAAGAGCTCTGTCATCTCTGTGGCTGAATGAGAACAGGAAATGCGTGCCATTGTAATGGCTCTTAATGATCACAGTTATAAATTCTGACTCACAGTGATAACCAAAGTGCCGCCGATAGAAAAGGATTTTAATGAAAGACTAATTGCTTTGCCTGATGGCTTAAGCGTACTACATCCAAGAAGCCACTCTGATCTGAACTGCCTGTAAATATCAAATCTTGAATTCAGATTCATTCAGAGCTCTCAGAGGCTTCTTTCCAATGACCTCAAAGCCAAGGACAACATTGTGGCTGAGCCTATCCATGACTAGCCATGCCATGCATGGTAGAGATGAACTGGTATTCCATCTTTCTTACCTTCAACTTCATTTTTTAAGTGATCCAATAGAATATGCCTTAGGGAAAAAGGAAAGAAAAAGAAAGCTGAGTCACTAAGATGGAGAATGCATCTCACCTACTGAGCTGGGGAGCAGGAGCAACTCTTGTACCCATTCCAAGCCTGGTATGCTATCAGAAGGAGAAATGTCTGCATGGGAAGGGGTGGCCTCACTGCTTTGAGTGTTTGAAGATCACTTCCCTGTAGAGCAGTGAAGAATAGATAGGTGGAAAATACTGGGAAAGAAGACATTTGAAAATAAGCAAGAGGACGGCTGGAACGGGAACACAGTGCCTGTGCAGAAATGCTGTGGTCTGAAACCAAGGAGAAGCAGGGGCTTCCTCCTCCTGCTTCCCACTGCTCAGCAGACAGTGCCTTTGCTGTCCTTGCGCACAGAGAGGAGAACACTGGAGAAATCCCTGATTATTTTTAATTTCTCCTGCCATCAGAAGTGATGACAACCTCTAAAATGTGGATAACTGCCAGGAAGAAGAAGAAAAAAGTTGAAGCTCTAAAAATAGGTCTACTCCTCTCAATTTCTATTAATCTTCTAATTGGCAGGTCACGGGCATTATGTGTGTAGAAAGGGAGTGAGATTTCCCCTTCTTTATGCACTGCAGTTACTAATGCTCTATGATCTGGAAACTCCTTCAATGGTATTCTCCTTAAGGACAAACCCTGGAAGATGGCTCGGACTGCTACCTGCAGCCATTTGGGGACATACCTGTGGAGACATTTTTGAAACAAAATGCTGCACAACTTTGAAAATCTATTCTGAAAATGCTGAAGCCTGGAGTGGTGTTTTAGGATGGGAGTCTTGTATCAGACCAGTAGCACATTACATAGAGCAGTGCTAAGAAAGCAGAAGCTTAGCAGCATTTTTCAGGGATTTGTCCAAATCTACTTCTGCTAACCTCTGCTGTGACCACTCCTTTTCACATACAAGTATTTTTTCCTCGAGTATCGTGGCTTTAGGCCAACATTGGATTGCTTCCCACAATATGGTATCTTAGAAAAACTGAGCAAGCCAGGTAAAAATTGAGCTGGTGCGCACACACACACTCAGGGGATTCAATTTTGTCAGCCACTGAGAACAGCCTATACTGCACAGCAGAACAGAGGCAGACATGCTAGCAATAACTCCCCAGTATGCAGATGGAAGGAATAGCAGGCTGAGGTATGTGGTCGATCAGAAGCCATAAGCTTCAAATTTACAGCAGTACTTTCTCAATCATTACTTCTGACATGATTTCCTGGACAAGAAATCCCCCTAGATATGAATTATCAAGACCAACTGAAAATCAGCAGGACCAGGCTCCAGCACTGCATGAGCTGAAGAGAGGGCTCGTCAATAAATTCTGATTGCTCTATTTCCTCCCTTTTATCATCCGTACCCACAGATGTTTACTCTTTTAGCAAGAAGCCAGAAGAAACAGCAGGATGTTTATGATATGCTTTGGTATGTTTCATTTCTAGCTTTGTAGTTTTTTCCCTCAACCAAGAACAAAGCAAATCTCATTTGCAACTGGTCTTTATTACTGCCTTAGTGGGAATTAAGTATCCAGCTACTCGCAGTTCAATAAACAACTCAAATCCTGTGTGAACAAAATGAACAAAGCCCATAAGTGCATGGCACAGACACCAGTGAGATGTGAGCCTGTGCCTGAAAGATAGGAGCAAAACGGGGAATATTGATGCTTGTAAAACCATGCTGGGTTAAAGACACCGGTGTCAGCCAAAGAGGATCTGCACAAAGATATTGGATCAGCTCTGTAGATGGAATGGTTACAGCGATTTTACTCCTGTGGTATCTCGGCCTAATTCCTGAGCAGAAGTAGTTAAGCTCCAGCACAGCTCCGTGCTGACACAGCGTGGCATCATGCTCCCAAATCTGCCTTGCCTTCTCCTCACTGCAGCACTGCTCAGTGCAGAAATACTTATTCCCCATCAGACGATGAGTTTGCACAGATTCTGAATTCAGTAAGCATCTTCTCTGCACGCTCTAGTTCAAATCTGTCTAAGTTGTGCTTATGTGAGTAGTCACTGATGTTTCTATTGCTTTATGCGCCCATTTGGCTACTTCCAGCTTTTACAAACCAGCTAAACTGACAAACAGCAAAGTGATATCTGAGCACCTTGGCATAAAGATCTCCCGATCTGGAGCTCTGAGAGCTCCTAAGGGCTCCAGAAAGTCACTGAGAGGGACTGCAGGAGTTACCACAGAGCCCAGGGCACTGCTCCACAGCCACAGCTGTGAGCGGCTGCGGCTGCACTGCAGTGAGGCTGAGCTCCTCCAATTGCTCTTCCTGCTAAAGGGAACAGAGGCATTCCACACTGCACTGTGGTGAAGTTCTTAAAATGCCATGGGATTAGAAATGGAAGAGCAATACTATGAAGAACATGCAGCCTCGCTTCATTCCTTCCAGCCCCTTGATACCCTGTTACCCAGTTATCCCAGAGAGCACAAAGTCTGGGGAATGAAAGTTAATGAGTCGTACTGTGTATCTTGAACTCGATATTTTTGACTTCCTGTGCCAGTAATCAGCTGGATTTCTGATCTCCTCAGCCAAAGAGTAGAAGATTGCTGTGGTTCTGAGTGCATTTATTTGCAGAAAGCATTGTAGAAGCCTGCTATTGACTCAACTGGAATAGTGGATAACAGCCAGCATGGAAATGACCTTCTTGTCTATCACTCAAAGCTAAAAAGTGTTACGGGACTCCAATTTAATGTGACAGAATATCATCACAAAGATGAAATTCTAAAGCCATCACTCAATGATTATAATTAGCCCACGGCAAGCTCCTCTGAATACCAAAGCGACTATAAAAGGTGAAAATTCTCTTAATTAGCAAAGATGCAGACAACGTACCAGTCTGACTCATGGCTGAAAGTCTCCAATTAACCTGGCCCAGATTGAGATGATTAGGGCAGCTCTGATTGTGTGAAAGAAATAAAAACAGTGTGACATTAAGTCTTGTATTTTTCCATCCCTGCTCGTGCTCTTCGGAGTTGCATGCTGGCACATCTCTTGTGAACACGTTTCCTGACCTGCTGCAAGAAATCAATCTCAAATCTAGCAAACCCTGATGACACCCTGGAAATGTTTTTAAATATTGAGAATGATTCGTACAACAAATTCCTAGCTGGGTATCATGCAGCCCTGTTCAAGCTGTCCAGTTCTATAGTTGGTAAAACTACTAACCTGACTAACGAGAGCAAGAAACTATCACTTTTCATATGGTGGCAGTTTGTCAATGCATCTCACACTGTTCCTCTGATCGTTGCATCATGGTAGTTGAAAAGTTGCTTCACATGGACTGATCATACATCTAAGATATGCAGTGAGCACATCTCATGGCTTGAAGAAGAGAAGAGCACAGCAACCCTTTGCATTCGGACTGCACTGCCCTGCCCTGTTGGCACTGCACAAAACCCAAGTGCTGCAATGTGTGGGAGTTGCAGATTAAACTGGTTTGAACAGCAATAACACAGATAAAAGGGATGACAGAGAGTTGGGGCACTTCCCCAGCTTCTCAGAGGTGTTTGGTTTGCACCCCTAGAAGTAATTCAGGTAGGTCTGCACAAGCTGCACTTGTGTCTCTGCAACACATCTTAGGGAAGAGCACTATGTAGTTGGATTCATTTAAAGTCCAGATTGAGAAACAGCCTTAAACAGAACTGCAGCATTCCCAAACGAAATTACAGAATCACAGAAACGTATCTTGGGTTGGAGAAGACCTTAAAAATCATCCAGTCCCACCCTCTGCCATAGGCTGTGTCCCCAGCTCAGGCTGCCCAGAGCCCATCCACAGCCTCCACCACCTCCAGGGATGGGGCACCACAGCTCTGGTGAGACCAAGAATAATCTGCTACAAAACACTGGAACATAGACTGGGACACCTTCATTGCAGCAGAGCAGTGAAAGTACCAATGCAGGCTAAAACTGGAAAACCTGAATATCCTTCTGTGACTTCATCACAGAAGAGAAGGCTGCAAGGTGACCTGAGAGCAGTCTGGCAGTATCCAAAGGCGAGCTACAGGAAAGAAGGGGGCAGACTCTTTAGCAGGGTCTGTGGTGACAGAACAAGGGGAAATGTCTTCAAGTTCAAGGAGAATAGATTTGGGTCAGATATAAGGAAAAATCCTTCTCAGTGAGGGTGGTGAGGCACTGGAACAGGATGCCCAGTGATGTGGTTGATCCCTGGAGACTGTCAAGGTGAGGCTGGACCTGGTTTCATGGAAAGCTGGAGCCCCTGGGCCAGCAGCTGCTCTGCTGCATTCTGATGGCTTTCATGAACACGCAGCCCCAAGGGAGGTGGAGTAAATAGCCCTGGTAAAGGAAGATTATGTCTCTTTGTTTCACCTTCAAAGATGTGCAATAAAATAAGAAGAATGGAGGAATGGGGAACATTGTGTAGCTCAGATCAAAACACTTAAATAAAAACTGAAAATGGAAAAAATGACTGCTACTGGAAAAAAGTGCTACTGAGTGAGTTGGTTAAACTGTGGTATAGCAGCCAGATGTCAGAGAGCAAAACTTGAGGACAAAATCATCAGTAGGCGAGCAAGCAAGCTTCATTTGCTGTTATACCATGCAGGAGGACTGACATCAGCTGAGATTCTTGGCTGTGCATTCAGGAATCTTTCTGATAAGGTAGTTGATATGCAGAATGGGGAACTCTGCAATTGATGAATAGGAGGATGTTTGACCTGAGGCCCATACAGATGTGTTGATGCTGCTGAGGGTCTATCATGTAGGCTAACCATGACCAGAAGATGCAGTTCCTGAATTCCTAGCAGAATTATGGCAAATTGCTGCTGTCTGATTAGTGAGTTGCACCATGTGCTGTAGAATTTTGGCAACAAATAATATTTCATGACTTCTTGCAATTCGTCTGAAGAACTTCAATGTAGTATTTCTCGCATGCATTTCTTTCACTCAGTATTATCCAGGGTTCTACAGCGTTTGATGACCTCAGGACCCAAAAGTTAGCATTTCACCTCAGGAAATGAGAACTTCCTGCTTTTCTTTCAGCACGGCGAGTGACACCGCAGCAGCCAGCAGAGGTGGCTCTCCAGCAGTGTCACTCTTCAGTGCCTCCTGAGACCTCTGGGATGGAAGAGTTACCTGGGGAAATGGTGACAGAATGGGAAAGAAGTGCCCAGGGCAGGACAGGTGGAAGTAGATATCTTAAAGATTCCTTCCAACCCAAGCCATTCTAGCCATTCTGTGTACCTGCAGAAAGCAGCCTGACGAGGAGGGACAGGTCTGTGTGCTGGGTCACATGCCCTCTCCAAATATTATTATGCATTACTATCAAAACAACAGAAGTGATAGCACAGAGGCAGATGGACAGCGTTGATCACCACAGGGTCAGGTTCCCTCGGCTTCCCAGGGCTGATCAGGGAAAGCTGATCAACGCTGCCTTTAATGTTAAAGAGGCTGAATATTACCAGAGTTGTGGAAGGGAGAAGCAAGGCTCAGAGAAAACTTGGTGAGAAAGGAGACGTTGGCATGAGCAGCGGGGAAGGGAGGAACCGGGTCACGTCCTGTGGAGGCAATTACCTGCTCAGCTCTGGGAAATATCCAGCATGGCTTCAGGGCAGCTGTAAATAGATAATCTGCCACGGTGTGTGAGGGCCCATATGCCAGCTCAGGGCTGCCAATCCCATCACCCACACTTCCCAGTCTCTAAGATGCCCAGCGCTCCTTGTGAGGTTTCCTGGTTCTGCCCACACTGTGTGTTTACTTTTAGACTAAATGTGAGGAAAGATGTTTCTTGACAAATTGATCCTGTGATATGCATTAATACTGAATATCTTCCCATTAAAGAAAGGGAAAATTCCAATATTAAAGAGGAATATACTTTATTGAAGAATTCAGTCTTTCAAAGACGTAAGTATTTGGTATAGAGTATCAAGCTCAGTAAAAGTCTGTTATACAAATATGCTCATGGCATAATCTTGAAAAATATTAACAGTTTCCAGCAACAAGGGAGCTTTATGAGGGAGGAAAAAACAATATTGACTCACGGTGTTTATTCGTAGCATAGTAAAGTTGCCCACACCTGAGAAATTTCAGTAATTAAACACCTAATGCCAAATTCATACAAGGAAAGGTTAAGCAAATTTCTACAACTTAAACGGGGATAGAAAAGCTGATCACCATGGGCTTAAAGAAAGAACAAACATGACATTTAATTAGAGTGTAAATGGACGTAAATAACGTTTGGAAGAAATGCCCTTCATCTGCCCCTGCAGCTCTGGCCTAATCAGCCAGTTTGGCATTCTCGCCCTGCACTACACCTGGCTGCTCACAACCACTGACTTGCCATGTTCTGTCCATCCAGCTCCCATCCCAGAGCCCCCACCACCTGGTAAAGAAGCCCTCCCCCAGGCACAGCCAACACTTGAACTGATCGTTGCCCATCGTCTCGGAAGGTTTGTCACCATCTTCACTGCACTTTCTGTGAACGCAGGGATGAACCTGGCACCACAGCAGGTGTGTATCCACCACCCACCCTGGGCTGCTCACCAGGAGCTGCTGCTGGATGTCCACATGGCCTCCTGCTAAAGGAGCCATGCAGTGCCCACTTCTGGCCCTAACAACCAGGCTGTCTGCTCTGAGTGTGCCTGATCTAGGATGGATGCATTCCACTATTTCCCTTTGCTGTGGTTGGACCCTTCCCTAACAGGTTGGCTGCAGACATCTCAGGGAAAGACTCGTTTCCTGGAGAGATACCATTTGTCATTGGACTCTTATACATTTATGGAGCCTATGCTGCTATTGAGCTTGACATTTTAGGGTTTTTGAAAGCTTTTGATTTCTTAAGAAACAGCAGAGTTACACTGAACCATTTGAGGTGGAAGAAATACCCTTTTAAGATGAGAATATCTGCTTGTCTCTTATCAGCCCGTAAAAGGCTTATATGAATACCTTCATAGATCCTGATGACTTTACTGAAGCCAGAGGGGTTATTCCCAGTGTTTGTGGCTTGGCAGTAGTATCTGCTTTTGCAGGAATGGGGACCTGGTCTCTCTTCCAGATGTACACAGGTGTCCCTTACCCTGTGCAGCCCAAGGGTTTGTACGGTATTACTTTCCACTTCTGTTCCATTCATGTCACCATTCATTTAGTTGAATTAGAAAGCAACAGATGATGCCATGACAAGTTCTACACTGGGCACAAAGCCAGTTTTTCTTTTTACTGACAAAGCTGGCTTCAACTTCATCAAGCAATTCCTCTCTGATCTGTAATAGAGGCTCATCCGGCACTTCTCCAGAATGTCACTTGAAAGAAATAATGAATGACATTAAATGAAAGTTTCATTTTTTTTTCTTTTAAAAATGAGCTTTAACATCATAAAATACCATATTCTCATTCCGAGTCAAATATCTTCTTGTTATTTTTCCAAGAAAAGTGCTCAGCAAGGCTTTGTTCTTGCCTGCCTTTTATGACTCTAACAAATCACTAAAATGTCCCTGAGATGTCTCACATCAGGGAAATTGGAACCCTGAAAAATATATGTTCTTGGCATAGTCTTCCTATATATTGTGAAACTGATACTGTAATTGTAGGATTTAGTATGTTATGGAAGAAAGGCCTTTTCTTTTAAGGTCTCTTTTTCTACTCAGCTCATATTTAAATGGAAGCAGAGATAAGAGCATCCTTATTTAGCTCGGTACTTAAACACATGCTTAACTCCAAAGATGACTCAGTCCACGAGACTTAAGAATTTGATTAAACGAAGCCATTTAGCTGAGTGCTATGCCAGATTAAGATCTTCACAAGTAAAACTCCAGTACTGTATAGGCAGCATCCAGCTCTAAAGCTATAGCTTTGCTACTACACCAAGCATTGGCAGGGGGTGCTCTCAGACCCTGGTGGAGGCTGGCATGTCAGTGTGTGCCAGTGTCGATGCTGCTGGGCTGTTCTATGATCTGAAAAATAGGTAACTGCAAGCAGACAGTCTGGTGGGAGAGGGCTGTGGGACATGGCAGTGCCCAGAGCATCCCTGGAAACTGCCAGGGAAGAGTCAGCTTTCCAGGTCAGACTTCCCTGGAGATTGGATGGGCTTGAAGATGAATTCCTGTGTCATGCCATAGCCTGGAACCACCTCTCAAGGCAATTCCCCCAGCTAAGGGACTGAGCCTTAACTTCTGGGATTCTGTTCCTCCCTCACACCCAGGACTCAGAGGGTGGTGAGGCACTGGCACAGGTTGCCCAAGGAGGCTGTGGATGCCCCATCCCTGCAGGCATTCAAGGCCAGGCTGGATGTGGCTCTGGGCAGCCTGGGCTGCTGGTTGGTGACCTGCACACAGCAGGGGGCTGGGACTGGAGGAGCGCTGTGGGCCTTTGCAACCCAGGCCATGCTGGGATTCTATGATGATTCGATGATTCTATGACTGAGGTCAGCAGAGAATTGTTTTATACACGTGGCTTTCTGAGGAGTCAGAAGAGATCCAGCTCTCAGGCAGACCCAGATGCAGTCACTGCTGGGTCCTGCACAGCTGGACAATCCCTGTCTGAAGCTATCCCAGGAGCAGGCACCTCTGCTTTTCTATCTCATGATGGAAAGCTGTCTGGTTGCAGAATAGATCTTGAAACATCACTGTTATTCTTTATAGAGATAAAACAAAATCACACGTCCCACAAATCCCACAGGTTTGATATCTGTGCATACACATCTCTGAATATGAATGTGCCAACCTCTCTGCTGCCAGAAGCAGCAGCAGCTGCAGCACGGATCTGAAACCAGTGGGGCGTCCCCCAGAGAAAGGCTGCTTCTGGCTTTTAGGACCTGGTGTAGATGTGGGTTTGTCTTCGGTACAACAAGTGTGCAAAGTCTAGTCCTTTCTGATGGAACGAAATAAGATCAAAGATGCATTATGCCAGAACTGCAATAGAAACATATAAAAGTATTACATGTTTGGACCAAGATTCCTCTACTCATGGAGACTCTTCATACGCTGACATTCCTGTTCAAACTGTCACATAAAGAAATTGTATCTGTAACTGAATATAAATGATTCCATGATTTGTTCTCAAGTGGCTTATTGACTCAAAAATGATGCTCTTGTTCCTTAGGAACCCAGTGCAAAACCCCACAGCGCCTGGGCTGTGAAGCAGGTCTGCAGCAAGGGGCTGCCACACTGCCTTCTCCTGGAATACATCCTTCTCCAGCAGAAGCTGTGCTAATGCCTTCAGGATTTTAGTACATAAACGGGGCGGAATCGGGTGTGTGCCGAGGAGCACCGCGCCGCTGGCACAGCCGAGGTGCTGCTGCTGCAGGTCATGGTGACACCGTTATCAATCTGTGTTAGAAGCACTGCCTGCAGTACCCAGCAGGCTGATGCACTGAGGCTGAAGTTAAGCAGCATACTGTTGAAGTACCATTAATTTTTTCTAGTGCGGCTGTATCAGCATTTCCACTGGAAGGACTTGCTTCCAGAGCCTTGTATAATTCAGCCTGGAAAATGTGCTCTGAACAGAAACTTGGCACAAAATGCTCCCAGCAGGGAGAGTATTTTCTTTTTCAGGGCATGAACAAATATCCATTTAGCTCTGTTTCTGAGACAGAACCAAAGAAAAGCTAGGCCTTTTAAGATAAAGGAGCGCTGAAAACAAAATTCCTTCAGTGAAAAGAATACAAAGAGTAGAAGTTTATGAGATAAAAAGTGCAGAAAAATGAAAAATTAATCCTAATTATTTTCTGAGCTTTCTTACAGACAATATTCTGTTTGAAGAATGTTTTGAGCTATTTGGGTACTGTTATTAATTAACTAGGTCTGTACCAGACCCAGTGCTTTGATGCATCCGAGCATCCTCCAGTTATTTCAACAGGGTTGCACATTCAGTTTTTTCAAGAAGAAGTTAAAAAGAAAAATTTTGAAGAGGTTAAGAGTGTACATAGATGATTAAAGTACAAAATAAGTTGAGCTGCAAAGGGAAGATAGCCTGAGGGAGTGAGAAGGAGAAACTTTACTTTTTTTAATGAGGAAGCATGATGAAAATGAGAATAGTGTGAACATGTTGGTATGGCTGATAGGAGACAGGGAAAGCAAGGAAAGTTCTAAACTGCTTCACACTTCCTTTATTTCAGCAGGCTTTTGACTGCTGAAAGGATATCAGATCCCTCTGTTTTGTCTGAAAACCCACAGCCCACATCAAGCCATGGTTAAGCAGCAACGTTACACACTGACACAGATGAGCATCCAAATTTCACAACAGATCATTTGCTTTTAAGCAGTGAAGGAGATAGAAAGAAGAAAGCCCTGTGGATTAAGAGGAAAATCTTACCAAGATCTTGCTTCTGCCTGACTAATATGATCAGAAGTTGCATCTCTCCAGTGCCAGGCAGTTGGGATGATGTGTGGGGCTATGGCATGAGAAGTGGGGATCTCTCACAGAACGCCACCGAAGCTTTGAATTTCCTTCCCACAGGTGTGTGAAACCCAAGATGGGATTCCTTCCTTGCTCCAAGAAGAAAACAGGTTTTGGAGTGACTCATATTGAGGTGTGCTTGGTCTGTGGTGTTCTTTTATGCAAGTTTACGGTGCAATGAAGCATTCTGGTTGATGGATGAGCTGCTTTCCATATCCAGTTTCATTCCTGTTCAAATGCCTCCTTGCTTGGGTAAGATGTTACAAACCATGAATCAAAATCCTGACTATTGCTTGATTACTTCATCCTCCACACCACTTGCTCCACTTAGTTTCCATTTCACTTTAATCTGGAACTTTCACTTTAATCTAGAACATTCCTTGAGACAGCCCTAACATCATTCTGTGTTTGGAGCCTTTGTGGAGGATACGCTGCCCCTTCACAAAGTATCCCTGCTCCATAACACCAACACATCACTTGTTCCCTAATTGCTTAACTTTGCTTCCTCTTAGTGTTTCCCAGAACATCAAATGAGGGCTTGAAGTACTCAAAAACCTAGTGTTGCAATGAAAAAGAACTGATTAAAATTCATAATTACCAAAATAAATAAATAAATAAATAAAAACCAAGGAGACTTAGCATGGTGCTTCCATAAAGACAATAAGCCAAGCTCTTGTCATAGTGAAATGTGGAATAACTCTATTGAAATAAATCTTAATTAAGCTAGAGTCACTACTCAGTGTGACTTAATTAAGAGCAGAACAGTGAGAGCCTTTTGGGAAAAAAGGGAATACTGATTATACAATTATTTTACTTCATATTTCTTCTTCCCCCCCAGACTTTCCATCTTGCTGCAGAAAAATTCAAACCTAAAGTTGCTTAAGTTAGCTCAGCAAGATATTAGCATGGCAAGTTTCATCCATCCTGCTTAGGAATCTTCTGAAATAAAAAGCTGAGAATGACAGTTTAGAAGACAATCTCTTTAAACTATACATGCAAGGTGCCATGCATTTGTACCTATCCTGATCATAAAAATTTGTCACTTTGTTAGGCAATAAATTTATGAAACTTCAAGTACTGAACTACAGAGGTGAAGCCCTAATTCTTACAAAGAAGACAGAGGCGTAAATTACAGTTAGAACTACTTGCATGGAAAAGTGTAATGGAAAAAATTACACAGGACACCTCCACTTCAGCTTCCTGAACACAGCATGCAACAATGGCTGTATAGTATAGGCAGATATATTCAACAAGCATATCAACAATGAAGACGTCCATTTGTTGTGGTTTCATTTCTTACTGGCTAAAAAGCATGCAGAGCCAGATATATTTTGGCAATAAATCTGTTGACTTCAACAGATTGGGGGAATGAAATCAAACCCAGTAGGAAAATGCACGCAGGGTCCTTACCAGCTTATGTAGACTATGTCTAGAAACAGACGTTAATGGAATATGTGCAATACCCCAGGGACCTACTGTAAATGGTAAGAAGGTTATAAAGAAGATCCAATACCTAGCTTGGATCAGAGTGTCATCCTGCTTGGGTATGTGCACTACGTCCTGTCTTCACTGTTGCTTATGCAGCTCCAGTTCAGCTGAACAGGTGCTGTGTGGGTGCAGAAGAGGGTAGAAAATATTCAAAAGCATCGCAAGAAGAACAAAAAGAATGGGAAGACATTAATAAGTACGTTCTTTCCGCCCCAAAATTGCTCTCATATGACTGAATTAAAGAAGAAAATGATATCTTTTCTCGCTTGAGAAGTTTTTCTGAGTCCATAGAGAGTGATATATCTGCATAAGTAGCAGCGGCAATGTTCTTTCCTGCAAAAGGACTGATAGATAAAATAACAAAATGACATCAGTGAAGGGTCTGTTTGTTTTGTGCTCTACTCCTGCGTTACCTTCAAAATCAAAACCTCCTTTTTAAAGGGTGTAATCTGCATGTTTTGTGCCTGCTGTATACAGGTGCTGCTGCACACGCATGATATTGCGACCACCACGTGTGAGCACGTCCTCAGCATTGACATCTTGGCTCACCAATCTCTGCAGCAAATTCCAGCAGCAAATTTATAAGCTCTGTTCTGCATGAAGTCCTCATATCCAATCGCAGACTTTGAGCTGAGTTACACCAGGGAATTATCCCTAAAATAGATGCTTGGGAGACAAGACTCTAAGGCCTTTTTCTGTTCTCTTTCACTTGGTATTTGAACACTTTAAGTGGGGTTAATCTCACCAAACTTGGATGAGCTGGCATTGCTGATGTGCTTGAAGTAAACACTCAGAGCTTCCTTTATCACCAGTGGGTAGAAACAGGCATTTTAGAGGTGTGATTCACGCACAGCTGTAAAATGGGTCACAGCTGCCTGTCTCTCTATTATGACCACAAAAGAAGCTCAGTTAATAATATCTTCAGCAGTCAACATCCAATGTTAGATGAGATGAATCCCTGCTTTGATGGCTTTGGAAAACGCTACTTCCTTCAATACAATACTCAGCAGAGATTCTCAGGATACATCTGTGTGGAACCAGAGAAGGCCATTGTGATGCATGGGGCAGGTGAGAAAAAGGACATCTCCAGAAGTGATACCCAGGGCTCACAGTTGTGCTATAATAGTCAGATTTTGTATAGACAGTGGAGGAAACCTTAGAAGAGCCACGGAAAACTTGGCATTCAGAACCTAAAAAGGATGGATATTGCACAATGTCTTTGAGATGCAGATCAAAGTCAGTAAGTTCTTCCCAACAAGGGATGCCTATGAGCCATACCTCAACATTGAAACATCCCCCGCTCCTAAATCTTACTGAAATATCTAGATCTTAGTTTTGCAGCTGACTCTTTCAATATCTCGGGTCAAACCAATAACCTTGATCTAGATATACCTGAAGTTTAGATCTGGATTCAAACTTTGGAAGCTTTGCCTGTCTAGAAAATGTATCTTTCCCTAAAACTTGTTGCACACAAAAGGTCCCTCGAACAATCAAGAACTCTGACCACTCTTATAACACAGAGGTCATTTTTTTGGCAAATGGAAATGGCAAAATACAGAAAGGACAGAGAAGAGGAAAAACTGCATATCTTAAAAACAGAAACAGCTGACGAGCATTAGATCTGCAATGGCTTTTTGTGCTGCAGGTGAATTTCCTCTGGCTCTCCCCAACAATGAAACAGTAGGAAGAGGTGGGAGATGTCACAGAACAAAGGATCAATTTGCAGAGAGCTTTTTAGAGAAATGCATGTACAAACCCTCATCAGCAAACTCTGCAGACTCAGTTGACCATCCACGAACAAACACGAATACACATTGCGGAAGGCAAATGGCTTCCAGACATCTTTAAATGTACCCACAAGTAATACAAAGCAGACACAAACACTCCATACAGTGATATCTTTACATAGTGTCCTCACGGATACTATATATTCAGGAAGACATTGCTCATGTAGGTGATGCTATACCATATTCCAGAGAGTAGAAAGCAAGCCCTTTTAAAGTACTGGAAGAGAAGATGGAGATGGCAAGCTCCAGTGGAGGACTGGGCCAAGAGCAAACTGAAATGGCTAGATTAGTTTTCATCCCTTCTCTTGGGTTACTAAACTGTATAGTTTACAAAGCAGAGACAGTCATTCACGGTTCTTTACAGTATAATTTCCATCATCATGTAGTTACTGTGGATTTACCACATTCTTTTGTGAGATTTCAACTGCCAGAACAAAGCTTTGTATTGCAGACAATCGGCACTCAAATATTTAGGAATAATAATAAAGACATTCCTCCCTCCCCTCCCCTTCCCTTGGGGGACTGATCTGTCTTTTTACAACTGGGAGTTTCTTCAGTCCTATGAAAACCCCAAGGATTTTCATAATCGTTGTTATTTAATCTAATATAGCAAATGTTTGACTGATGTTCTGCTTAAAGAAGGGGAAAATCCCACTTCCTGCAGCATATTGCAGGGATCATCAAACATACCCCTTTGTCTGTTGGACCAAATACATAATGATAGTACTGTGTGGGTGCTCCAGAGCTGACTCAGCTGTAACACAGTCACATTGTGTCTGTGATATGCAATCCATCATTACATTTAAAGCACCGACTTGATTAATATTCAGTATCTCATGTCAACACTGATAAATGAGGATTCAAAGTGTTACACGGCAGGAACTGCAAGCATTGCTGCAGTGGTAATGGCCTGGGTTGGTTTCGTGGCATCTGTTACTTCAAGGGGAATTTTGCAATTCAGAAATACCCAAGTGCAGGTATGGAGGCAACTGCCAGTTGTGACCACTTGGGATAAATGTCATCTGTCACTTTTAAAGAAACTAAACATTGCATTTCCAAATGACCTACTGCAATTTCTTCTCCTATATGAACAGGATTTCTCTCCCTTGGCAGTTCAGCTTTGCCATTGAAATTCACATTAACTGTAACTGTGATGTTATAGATATACATGGTATACTGAAATTGGGAAGTACTTTGGCTTAGGCTGATTTAAACACCTACTTCCCAAGTGCATAGGTTTTATCTTTACTTGCTCAAGAAAAGGAACAATACCATGACATTTTTAGGTTTTGTTCCCTTTTCTCGCTTGAAATGCTTTTTGTTTTTCTTTGTTTTGTTCTGTTTTGTTTTGCTCTGGGCAATTTTATCAAAGTATTCTCTTTTTCCCCTACTGTTTACTTAATGGTAACTTTTTTTTCCACCTTTGCTTCAGTCTTAAGTATGACAGATCAAGCAATTCCCGTTAGAGCTACAGTTTGATACTCAGAAACATTTAATGGCCAATAAACTCTTCCCTGGTGGAGAATGAGAATTCAAAGGAAATATCTGTGGTTGTTTTCACTTTCATTATTTTTGTTAAAAACAGTTTGCACCTTGATGTGTCATGAATACCCCTTCTTGATCTTCCTTTGCCTTGTCAGACCTGGCCAGCACAAGCAGCTGAGATCTTTGCTCTATTTTCCCTGCATCTCTGTGCAACACTTTTTTTAAAAAGAGAAAATATTCTTATTTTTTCTGCGCCTTTCAGACCGCTGTCACGTGATCAGGATTCTCCTGAATCTCTATGCATTCGATCTCTTCTCGTTCCTTCCTTTTGGCTCGTTTCTTTTTTTTGTGGTGCTTTTTGGAAGGTGGGAAAAAGGTTAGAAAGACGGGCAAAATAACAAAACAGTGCAGAAGTGTGCAACTGCCGGCAAGCAGCAAGCATTTGAACAGTGTGAAGGTCAAGTTTGAAGGCACAAAGAGAAGGGGGACCAACCCAATAAGAAAAGAAGAAACGTTCTGCAAAATGGCTGTCCCATGCTCTTGGAGGGAGTTCTTTATACATTGAGTTCGGGTGTGCTCAGTAGCTAGTACAAATGTATAAAGCAGGGGTGCACAGTGGTCTATGGCAAAATTCAAGGTGTAGATAAGGCACAGTATAGAAATGCAATCCATGTCTACATTCCATAAGGTCATCAAGCCAAGGACGCCCAGCTCTATTGAGGTGACGCTGAGAATTAACCAGAAATTTCCCAGAGGATGGATAACCAGGAAAAAGGTCAGTATTAACACCAGCAGGATGCCAAAACCAGAAATCAGGACAGGCATAGTTACTGATAAACCATAGTGGTCCATGAAAACAAAGGTAGGGTTGAACACTATGAACTTGATGCTCTGTATAAGAGAGAGTGGTCTCAGTTTCTCCAGTAATTCCACTGCCTCCCTCTGTGTGTTTTCACTAGTCCTGGCCACCAGGTACAGACGAGAAGCTATTATGTTATTCTCATCTCCAGCTTTAGAGAATATGATGTCATTTTTGAAGTGCTGGAATTCTGGCTTTTTTAAAAAGGAGCTCTGGAGGATACTGATAAAGTCACTTTTGTTAGTTGCACTGATGTTGCCCACTCGAAGGAACTGGTAATACTGCTCGATCCAGGACACTGTGTTGAACCCTTGGCTCAGTGTTTTTAGGTCTTCTTGCACAGTGCCATTCCAGTACTCCAGAGGTTCATAAATATAGAATCCTATCACCGGGCTGTAGTTGCTGAAGTACTTTTGCTGAATGAGGGCATAGGAGACGCTTGGAGACTCACTGGCAAGAAGGTTAATAATGTTGGCTCCATCATTAATCTGTAAGCACCCCATAAAGGAGAAAGAGGCATAGATGAGATACAGTATCACCACAAAAGGCTTGACGTAGATGTTGGTAATCCACTCATTGTAATGCTCTCGGAGGAAATGCTGGATAAAGTGATGCTGGTATGGGTTGGTCTCATGATGAGAAGAATGTTGATGACCATCATTCATCATGGTCTGGAACCACACAGGCTTTCGGTCCAGGTATTCTGCTGAAGGGATTTTACAGCAGAAGATACTGTGATAACGGTTCTGCTCCAACTGGCCAGCAAAGACCAGGCAGGAGCCAAAGAATGAGAAGATATAGAAGTAGTTCAACAGGATGGAGACACACATGTTCTGGCAGAAGACTTTTACAGCTTCAATGTTAGTGAAAGGGCTTGCGCCCATGCCAAAGGCTATGAAATACAAGGAGCTTGTCATTGTGTAGGACACCATGACATCTGAGTAGGCATCTGCTACTCTGTCCTTGAATGGAAGATTCTCTCTTGTTCGACGCCATCCTGAAAGAAGTTCAAATACTCCTTTGGTTCCATGACCTGAAATGAGAAAACAAAGCATATACATGTGCATAGATAAAAGAGGACCCACATTTTCATCCTCCAGAAGTAAAAAAAAATGTTGTCAGCTAAGTTATAGTCATAAGTTTAGTTATGATTTTATCACCTGTTATACAAATTAGAAATTGTGATGTGTCTGTGTAAGGCTGGATACCAGAAATCATATGCAGATACTTAAACAAAGGCCCCATGCTTATCATCCCTGCAGTGAAATTATGAAATATAATTTGAAAGACACTCACTGATCTTCATGAACAGTTCTGAAATGAATAGCCTGTATAGGATGAAGGTAAACATTATGTTCAGAATCAGAATGGCTTGGGTGGGAAGGGACTGCAAGGATCTTCAGATTCCAACCCCCCCGCTGCAGGCAGGGTTGCCAAATTCTAGATCAAGCACCAGATTAGGTTTCCCAGGTCCCATTCATTCTGGCCATGAATGCCTCCAGGGACGGAGTATCCACAGTCCCTCTGGGCAACCGGTTCCAGCACATCACCACCCTCTCAGTAGAAAATTTCCCTCAGACATTTAATCTCGATCTTCCTTCCTTCAGTTTAAAACCTTTACTTCCTCTTGTCCTATCACTCCTCTTGTCCTATCACTATCTATCTGTGTAAAAAGTTGTTTAAGTTGTTTTTCCTCTTGTTTTTAGGCTCTTTTAATATTGGAAGGCTACAATGAGGTCTTACTAGAGCCTACTCAACTCCAGACTGAACAAGCCCACCTCCCTCAGCCTGTCTTCATAGAAGAGGTGCTCCAGCCCACTGAGCATCTTTGTGGCCCTCATCTGGATGCTCTCCAAAAGCCCCACATCTTTCCTGTGTTTGGGGCTCCAGCCCTGGACGCAGTGCTGCAGATGGGGCCTCACGAGGGCAGAGCAGAGAGGGACGATCACCTCCCTGTCCCTGCTGGCCACCCCTCTGCTGATGCAGCCCGGGATACCGTTGGTTTTCCAGGCTGCAAACACACACTGCTGGCTCGTGTTAAGTTCTTCATCTACCATGACTCCTAAATCTTTCTCAGCAGGGCTGCCCTCAAGCAGCTCTTTTCCCAGTCTGTATATATTCTTGGAATTACCCTCATCCAAGTGCAAAACCTTGCTTTGTTGAACCTCATGATATTCACAAGAGCCCACCTTTTGAATTTATCAAGACTAACCCCTGGGGGTCACCACTCGTGACTGACCACCACCTGGACATAGAGCCATTGACCACAACCTTATGGCTGCAACTTTCCAACCAGTTCCTTATCCATTGATTAATCCATCCTTCAAATCCATATCTCTCCAATTTAGAGATAAGGATGTGGGAGACTGCGTCAAAGGCCTTGCAGAAATCTGAGTAGATGACATCAGGTGCCTTCCCTCTGTCCATCAATGTCATCACTTCATCACAGAAGGCCACCAGTTTGGTCAGACACGACCTATCCTTGGTGAGGCAGTGCTGGCTGCCTGTGATCACCCGCTCGTCCCTCATGTGCCTTAACATGTCTTTCAGGAGATCTGTTCCATGATCTTCCCAGGCACAGAGGAGAGGCTCACAAGCCTGTGGTTTCCTGGATCCTCCTTCCTCTCTTTCTTATGAATGGATTCTTCCTCAGAATTCTTTGAGACATCCTACTATATTTTTCAGTGTTTAAGAAATTCATTTTGAAACACTTACTAATGCAAATATCAACATTTAATTCTAGAAATGCTGTAACTTGTGAAAACAATTGTGAAAAAAATGGGTGTGACCAAGAAAGAGACACATTGATTACTAATGCTCAACAAGGGAAAATGTATTCTGCCATTAAGTACAAATAACCAGGATGATTTGTAGGATGGTTCTCCTCCTGCCTGAAATCGGCACTTCTCATGCAAGCAACCATGTTGTAAAAAAGTTGACATGATGGTAATGATATTGAGTAGAGGATTTACCAGATCCTTGGTTCACATTAATGGTCTGGAATTTGATCTGTAGAACTAAAGTTTGGGGTTTTCTTTTGACGATTATGTCTCCCCTTCTGTCCCTTCTCCTCTCTCATCAGCTCCTGGTAAGAAGGAATTCTCTTAGCTCACTTGAGTGGGCATTCAAGAAACAGCCTGAGCCAAACAGTGCTCCAAAGGCTCTTATTTTGTGTTGAGTTCTGAGAACTATTTTTAGAAGTACAGCTTTTTACTAGAAATGGAGGCTAAATATGCACTTACTGTCATCTGACTCATAGCCACAGTCCAGGAATTCTACAGCAATTAAATTTAAGGGCAGAATGGTAAATTTGAAAGTAAGCTTACAGGAAAATGTTTAACTTCTTAAAAAAGTTCATTATGTACATATACAAATTCATATATGGCATATGTGGATACATACAGATTATAAAATACTCACACTATATACATATTCCTCTGTTATATGTGCATATAAAGCATATTATGCTTACATATAGTGTACATATATTATACCTATACTAAGCATTATATATGTGTTTTTCTAGTTCCCAGAAGAAATTTTCAGTTTGTGAAGGAAAAAAATAACATCTGCAGCTAAAAGGGTTTGGCTTTCAAACAATTATTTTGTTCCAAAATTTAAAACAAGTATTTAAATTTGAGGTTCTCTCTGCTCTGGGTCAAGCCCTGACAAAATTCTGGACTAGATAAGGAAACACATTATTGAGTAGGGAAAGAAATAGAAGATCACAGGTGTTTCTGTCCCTGTTTTTGTCACTCCACTCTCTGAAGTAGAACTGCATGCAACAAAGCAGGAGGTAATTTTCTTGTAATAAACCAGAAATTATGACAAGGATATTTGTAAATAATGAAGTGCATAATAGAGAACAAAAAGTCTGTTGAGTTTGTCTTCTGATTTAAATGGTCTGGATTCATGCAGCTGCCCAAAACAGACTCCTGACTGCCATTCTAGACAAGGGAAATTACAGCATAAACAGCTAAGTTCTGAGAATGTTACCTGTTTTACTGCAGATCAGTGTCCCCAGTGAAAGATAAACATACAGCAGTACAGAAATGTTGCAGTTAGCAAAATGCCTATGCAGAAATACTGCTCTCTTGTGAACTGGCATCCTGGTTCAGGAGGGATTTTGGATTCCCTGGTGAGTTAGGCACGAGTCAGTTCAGAGCCTCAAAGCACAGCTCCCTTGCACACTGTCACATTTGGACTGTCAAGCAGAAAGAATGGCCTCCTTGGGCTGAGCGGAGCTGCAGAATTCAACAGCTTGGCTGTGATTTTATATTATGCTTAAAGCAAGAGTGGATATGCTGTGGGATGTGGACCAGGCTGACTGGGCACCACGACCAGTGCCCACACCCTGACACGGATTAACTGAATGGCGTATTCTGTTTTGGGTACAGCAGAGCACAAAAGTCTTCCTCAGGTGCCCGCATTCACCCCATCTCTATCTCATGATCGGTTTTGAATGGTCCTTTTTCAAACATTTCTGATTAAAAGCCCTGAAATGTAGGACGTGATGTCATACGTGTTCAGATCCCAAGTGGCCATAACCAGGTTCTTGTCTCTACTCTTCCAGTTTTAGGGACCACACTTTTCTCTCTCTCTCTCTTTTCCTTCTCTCATGAGGGAAGCTGAGCACTAGATTTCTGCTTCTGCTGCTGCTATCATTCCTCCCACCTTCCTGTCTCACCCACTGGGGCAGAAGAATCACATTCAGCAGTGAAGTTTTTTTCTACCTCGGTTCCCCTTCCTGTCCTTACTCTCCCAGGCAGCCGGCTGGGATCTCAGACAAAGGGAAATCATGAAACTACAGAGCTCGCACTGGGAACCCTCATGGAGTGTCTAAATTAGATATCGACAATGTCTTTCCTCTCTAAATTCTCTCTTCTTTCTTTAAAATGACAATAGCCACTCTGTGTCAAGCCGAGCATCGTTCTACCTCTGGATCTGACAAAAAGGACAGATATTTAAAGAAAAAGATGATGGAATAGGGAATGTGTAGAATAATCATTTCCCAATTCAGAGTCCTAAACATTGGTGTTCAGCCAAGAGGCCTGCCAAAACCACAGGCTGTATTTGCAACGTCATGTTTGAAGGCTCTGAAGGACTTTTATCCATTTTTCAAATCCAGTTTTAAATTCCATCATACTTCTGACCACCAAAATCTCCTGCTACGAGAAGCTTCATAACTTCATTACTTGCAGAATAAAAGATAGACTTGCTTTTCTTCAGTTCCAACACTCAGCCAGTAAAATTTCATGGCTGAAGTCAGCAAAATGTAAACCTGTTGTTTCCTGAGCAATGACTCATGACTGGCCATCTGATGCATGTGCCCACTGTTCTCGCTCATACGTGGATGTTCACTGCATCCATCCCACTTCTGACATCTCTCCTTGACCACGTGTACACAGATACCTTTGTGCTCGCTGGCTGGCTGTCCAAGATGCACGTGCTAATTTGCCAGCACAGTACCAAATAGTTGAGTTTTATCGTCCACTCTGTGAGAGGAGAAACTGGGATTTTTTCTTCCTTCTAGAAATCAATTTGCTCAAACCTTCTAGGAGCACAATGGTCTGTGAGATTTTCATCCTTCTACCACAGGGCCTGCTGCTTGAGGGTACTCAGAGATAACAACTACAGGAGCCTTCTGCTGCCCATCAGAGCTAAAAGTGATCGGTGAAGTCAAAGAAAGAAAAAGACCCAAACCGTTGGGAATGCTAAAATGGATGTTGCAGATCGTTCTGAAACCTTTAACTGGAAATTTATCAGAAGCCCTTTCGCAGAAATAGTTGAAGTTATGGTGAACTGGCATTTTTCAGTGAAGCTGTAGATGAAGGAATGTTCCAACACCTCTTTCAGAAATTTGTGACAAACTTTTCTTCCCATCTACAAGATTATGTCCACAGTTGCACCTTTGCCATATTTTTGTTGTGATTAACTTCTAAATATCAGTGTATCAGGTTAGGATTCTATTTGCCTTCTTGGCCACAGGGGCACATTGCTGATAAAAAGGTATGTGAAAAGAGGAAGCGAGAG